TACTTAGTACAAGTGACCAAAAAACCTAGTTTCATCTAGCGTAGGCATGTATAACGAATGAGTCATGTAGCTCATCTATAGGAAAGGCAGGGGTACAGTGGGATATGAGGTACAACCAACTCAAGTGCTGCTGGTACTCACTCCTTAGCTTTCTCCTCTGCCTCCCTTGCATGCAAGCTGTATTCTTTCTTGCTGCAGGCTTCTTCCAGGGGACAGGGAACATGGCCCCTAATACTTCCAGAGCCTCTCTCTTCATGGTATTCACGGCAGGAACCAAGCCTTGTTTTCTCTTTAATTGTAAGTGCAAAACTCTCAGGAAAGGATGTAATTGGCTCAGCTTGGGTCATGTGGGGTTAGGACCACTAACAAAATGTCAATTTCCATTGTTATTTTTTTTTGGTTCTGTTTTGTTTTTTCTGTCACGCAGGCTGGATCTCAGCTCACGGCAACCTCAGCCTCTGGGGTTCAAGTGATTCTCGGGCCTCAGCCTCCTGCGTAGCTGGGATGACAGGCACACCCAGCAAATTGTTCGTATTTTTATTTATTTATTTATTGTTTGAGACACAGTCTCGCTCTTCACCCACTCAGGCTGGAGTACAGTGGCACAATCTAAGCTCACTGCAACCTCCATCTCCTGGGTTCAAGTGATTCTCCTGCCTCAGCCTCTGGAGTAGCTGGGACTACGGGTGTGCACTGCCATGCCTGGCTAATTTTTGTATTTTTAGTAAAGACCAGGTTTCACCATGTTGGTCAGGATGGTCGCCATCTCCTGACCTCAAGTCGCCCACCCATCTTGGCTTCCCAAAGTGCTGGGATTTCAGGCGTGAGTCCGGCCTTTTTGTATTTTGTATTTTTAGTAAAGATGGGGTTTTACCACATTGCCCAGGCTGGTCTTGAATGCCTGACCTTGTGTGATCCGCCCACCTCGGCCCCGCCAAGTGCTGGGATTACAGGCGTGCACCGCCGTGCCTGGCTCAGCTTCCATCGTCCCTAACAGTGAGAGGAAAGGACACCCCAAAGAACTGAGTTTGGGTATGGGGAAAATGGCTGCTGATCTAGCCAAGGCAAAGTGGTAGATACTCACAACAGGGAGTCATGCAGTCTGCACTGGGGGAGGTGCAGGAAATGGCGAGGAGGATTTGGAAAACTCGAGGTGGAGCCGTCAAGAGGCAGAAGAACATATTCTGTTCAGCACCTAAGGAAGACACAGGGCTGACTGCATTTTCTAGCGAGAGATGGGGTGGGAACAGGGTCCACAGTGATATAAGCCCTGTAGAGACTGACCTGCTGTGGGGAGGCTGAGGAGAGCCAGGCTGGACCTAAAGAACAGGAACCTGTAAAGTCAGGAGTACAGCCAGGAGGAGAGGGAGGCAGGACTTCTCAGAGCTGAGCAGAACACGCAGACTGTGAACTTCGCATGCCAGAGGCAGTGTCCTCTCTCTTGCCCCAGGGAGGCCAACTCCAGTTTCCCACATCTAGTGGGTTATTTTTATGGATAGATTTATTTTTACCCGTTCTAGACTTCAAACCTGCCACTGCAAGAAGCGAAGCACTGAGGCTTCTAGCTTTCCAGAAAACACAGGCCTTGGTGGTCAGCTCGGTGACAGAGATCAGGCTAAGGTCCTCTCGGCTCCTCTGGGGTCACACTGTCCCACCCCCCGCTATCCCTCCCTCCTTTCTGCAGCAGGGCTGGGATGGGAATGGAGTGGGAGGAGGATTTCTTTTTTCTCGCCCCACAACCCCACAGCCACCATGGAAGTCACGGTGAGGATCTGCGGCTGCCGTGGAACCCTGGCCTGCCCCTGCAGCTTAGCCAGCCAGAGGCGGGCCAGCCATCCCAGCCTCTTTTGACAGCACTTCTCCAGCAGAGCCTGTCTCCCTGGAATCCAGAGAGTTTGAGGGGAAGAGCTTATCTTTCCAGTAATAACCAGCTAGGAGAAGGTATCATTTCCCAGTCCACACAAAACAGGCAGCCAAAGCAGACTTCTTTAATGGGACCGTACATCTGGCCTAAATTGTTATTCCTCCAAGACAAGTTTACTGAACTGTTAGGCAATGCCGCCACACACAGCCACTGCAGACCAGCTTGAAATACACTTTAATACATTTAAAGAGTCATTTCAGAGACTCATGGTAAAGATGCAACTGACACTCATTGGGTGCTAAAATGTCCTGTTGCTGCCATCCAGCAGGGAGCCTGACAAGCCATTAAATCTGCAGCTCTCTTCCGCTGATTCATTTCTTTCCCTTTCTTTCTCACATCTTCACCAACAATTGATTTGGGATCCTAAAGCTGACATTTTGCTAGGGCCTACCAAAATCTAACAGGGGTACGGCACATCATGGAGGGTGCCCATAGTCCCAGTTTCTTGGAATGCTGTGGCGAGAGGATCACTTGAGGCCAGGAGTTTAAGACCAGCTTGGGCAACCTAGGAGACCCATAACAAAGGAAGGGAGGGAGGGAGGGAAGGAAGGGAGGAGGGAGGGAGGGAGGGAGGGGGGAAGGGAGGGAGGAAGGAAGGAAGGAAAGAGGGAAGGAAGGAAGGGAGAGAAAGGAAAGAAAGGAAGAAAGGAAGAGAGATAGGAAAGGGATGGAAGGGGGAAGGAAGAGAGAGGAAGGAAGGAAGAGAGGAAGAGAGGAAGAGAGGAAGGGAGGAAGGCAGAAAGGCAGGAAGGCAGGAAGGAAGGAAAGAAGGAAGGAAGGAGGGAGGGAAGGAGGAAAGAGGGAAGGAAAAGAGAAAGATAGAAGAAAGAAAGGAAAGAAAAAGATAAAGAAAAAAGGAAGGAAGGAAGGGAGGAAGGAAGGCAGGAAGGGAGGGAGAAAGAAAGAAAAAAGAAAGAAAGAAAAAAGAAAAAGAAAGAAAGGAAGGAAGGAAGGAAGGAAGGAAGGAAGGAAGGAACCAAGCAACTCTGTCCTTGAAATGCCCTGGGAAGATGGGAGTGACCAGAGGAGTTGCAAGAGGCTGAAATGAACAAAGGTCACCTATAGTGTCCTGTAAGTGCCTTGAGGGTAAAATTCAATCACTAGGCAAAAAGGACCAAATAATCCATAGTTTCCATAGATCTCGGCCCTAAAATCTCCCCCTATTCCTGCAGCTTTCTTCGGCTGCTGGCAGGCAGAGGCACAAGCACCGGCAGGGGCTTACTTTTTTTTGTTTTGTTTTTAATTTTTTTGTAGAGATGGGGTGGGTCTTGCTATGTTGCCCAGGCTGGTCTTGAAATCTGGCCTCAAGTTACCCTCTCGCTTCAGGCTCCCAAAATACTGGAATTACAGGCATAAGCCACTGAGCCTGGCCAGGGTTTATTTTGCATTTTGTTTTCAGATGGCAGCAGGCAATCTCCAGCCTCACATTGAGGAACTCTGAGTTCTGAGCCCAGCCCAACCAGTCTAAAAACATTACTTTTGTCTAACTTTCTCTAGCTCAGAAATAGGATATGGATGAGTTATTAAGAAATAGCAATTTAAGCCGGGCATGGTGGCTCGTGCCTGTAATCCCAGCACTTTGGGAGGTGGAGGCAGGCAGATCACCTGAGGTCAGGAGTTCAAGACCAGCCTAGCCAACATGGTAAAACCCCATCTCTACTAAAAATACAAAAATTAGCTGAGTGTGGTGGCACATGCCTGCAGTCCCAGCTACTCAGGAGGCTGAGGCAGGAGAATCACTTGAACCTGGGAGGCAGAGATTGTAATGAGCCAAGATTGCGCCACTGCACTCCAGCCTGGGCAACAGAAGACACTCCATCTCAAAAAAAAAAAAAAAAAAAAAAAGAAAAAAAAAGGGTAGGCAAATGAAGAGAAAAATGAGGACCCAAAAGAGAGAACATTGGGAAGGGTGCTAATTAGACAGGGGGAAACCAGACCCCCTGGGTCTAATTCACAACTCTGTTTCTCCATGTGCTGTATCTCTGCTTCCTGGGACAGGGATGACAGCAAAGAAGGACAAGGGTGGTGTGAGGTGTTGGGTTAGGGTGACAGGATCAAAGAGACCTTTTCTCAGCCCTCTGTGTAAAAGATTGGGAAGTAGTGGCCAGTCACCTTCTTCACAGCATAGCTCATAGCTATAACCTGTGGGATATTTGTCAACATGGCTTCCGTAGGCAAATAAACATGAGTGAGTGTGCTTGCTGAGGTCGGTGTGGGAACCTGTCAGTCGACGAGGAGGTGTTGTTGTGTGAACCAGCTGATGGTGCGTGTTTGTGCTTGAAAAAGCCATAAAGTTCTATGCAATATCTATGGGTGGCACTGTTGCACAATGCTGGTGGGTGTGTGGGTATGGGGGTGTAATTAACAGTTTACAGGCTGTGTCCAAGTGTGCATGGATGTCTGAGTGTGTGCAAATTAAAATGGAAATGTGTGCCAGGGTTTGATACAAGTACAGGAGAATACAAGGGCTTTGAAGTCCATCTGACTTGGCCTTGAATCGTTGGCTCTGTCATTAACCAGATGTATAACCTTGGGCCAGTCACTCAATCCCCAATTTCCTCAGCTAGGAAATGAGGCTAATAATAAGTACCTTTCAGGATTGCCACGAGGGCTAGAAATGATACCGTATAGACAAAACTTTTGGTGTCATAAGGGGGCAGCTATTTCCATGCACTGTCAATATACCTCTGGTGGGTACAGGGGCAAGAGGGAACAAAACGTGACTTGTATATAAGGTGTGGGGGAGGAGGTGTGTGTGTGTGTGTGTGTGTGTGTGTGTGTGTGTGTACAAAACAATTTCTTCTCCTTTTCCAAGGAGCACCTATTCAGACAGGAGCAGGAAGGTGGGAGGAGACATACAGGTGTCCACGGACACCTCGGATTTCTTGGTCCTGGATCTAAGTGAGTAAGGGGTGGAGAGGCCAGTAGGAGCTGCAGGAAGCCAACCACAGGCAGAAGCTTCCTTTTTTCCCTCCACCCAACAACCGTTGAATACCGCCACCCACATCCACTCCCCACCTCCACCCTCACACCTCCACCCCTACGCAGCTTTCTTTTCAACAAGTGAGAGCCAGGGCGGCAAAGAAAGCTGAGGGGGGAGAGGATTCCTCCCCTTTCTTTCCGCATTCCCCCTTAAGACGAACCAGGAAGCAACTGCAGTAATCGGGCCACCTTAACAGTAGAGTAATGGTTTGGCCTCGTGCCAAGTCCCACCTCTGTTCCAGCTCCCGCTCCTCCCCTCTCTCTTCCCGCACTGCCTGGGGAGAGCTGGTGAGCAGGAGTCTGGCCCGAGTTAGCTGGAGCTGTTGCCATGACAAGCATTTTCTTAAGAAAGCTCCGCTGTTGAGATCGTCCAAAGCTGGGGGCTGGGAGGGGGGCACGAACTTCCTGGGAAACCGTCCCTCCGAAGAGAGCAAGATCAGAGACACCCGCGTAGCTCCCCTGCACCCGTTTTCTTTCAGGAATCTGAGAGGTCCTTCCCATTGGAAGGGCAGGGGGAGGAGACCCAGCCCACTCCCCGGCCTCAGCCGGAAAGGCAAGAGGGCAAAGCCAGCATCTCTCGCTTGGTTGCCACACTGGGGAGACTGGTGGTGGTCACCCCACCCTACCCCCATCCATGGAAACCTGGAGGGAGAGTCCCGCTTGGAGAAACCTGGATCTTTGCTAGAAAGAGAGGTAGGCTTGCAGAGAATGAATTGACTTGTGATTTGCAAACTTTGTTTCTTTTCTCTCAATGGCTTCTAAAACTCCCAGATTTTCCTCTTTCTAGCATGTTTCATGCGATTGGTTTTGGAGGGTTTTTAAAAATTGTGTGCGTGCACAGATTTGTCAAATACTGTTTTACCTCTTATCAGTTCTGAGAAACCATATAATGGAACAAGTGATCTTTTCCTAGTTCTTGTCATTCCGGGGCTATGGGGTTAAAGGAATGGAGGGACTCTCTTTTTGACACCAAAATTGAGCTCTTGGAAAAGATATTTATCTCCCTTCCCTCACCCCATTCTGTTCCGGTCCTCCCCTTCCCCCTTGGCTTGGGAATGGGACGCAGGATGGAAAACTGTTGCAAAAATATTTTCCGTGTCTGTTCCCTTTCTCGAAAGCCCAAAACAGAGATGGGGGGAAAAAAAGGGGAACCAAAGAAATCTTCTGCGGGAAAGAGGGGCTGCAGCGGGAACTAGGGGAGGGGCACTCTGGGGCCGTGGGGTGGAGGTGGGCTGGGAGAAGTTGGGAGCAGGGGGGAAGGACAGGGCACAAATGAAATTTCTTTAGCTTTGCAGAGAAACCTCAGCAGTTTCTCTGTGCTGCTTGCAAAACATCCTCAGACTTTCACATCTATAATTAGCTGTGGAAAAAGCTGGGAGTTCCCTCGTACCGCTGTTGTTTGAGTGTGTGAGCGTCCAGAACCAACTGTGTGAGTGTCTCCGAGGGCACCGCCCCACACATCGCGGGTCCCAAAGGGGAGGAAGGAGAGCGGTGAATTGAAAAGTTTCCGATTTCGAGGCTGGAGACTGGGGCTGGTGAGTGCCCGGTGGACGGGGTGGGCCAAGGCATCCGTGGGCGGGTCCCTGAGCGTCTTAGGTCACTGCCTTGGCTAGCTGAAGAGCTAGGAATTAAGGCCGGGATTGTCCTTCCTGCCCTCCCTTCTCTCTCTCGGTCTCTCTCTCACACAGATACTTAGCTCACTCTTCGTAGAGGGGGCTGCTGGCTTCCTTCCCCGAGTCCAGTCTGACCTCATACACTCCTCCACCTCCCTGACGGCACCCGCTCTTCACCAGCTGGGTGTGGAGGGCGCAGGAGTGGTCAGCCACATCATGGGAGAGGAGTGGGCACTGCTGGCCAGAGGCACCTCGCTCCTGGGCATTCCTGCAGGACTTACAATAACTTGCAGACCTGATGCCGGCGCCTGCTGGCTGGGGAGGGGGAATGTCAGATGGAGAAATAGGCCGGCACTCAACTGAGGCCCCTGTGGATCGGGGAAGGACAACAAAATCCCATTCTGCAGTGCCCTCTCCTCAGGGTGAGGAGTCTGGGAGTCTAGAGACCCTGGCTTCGCTCCTTCAGCTCCTCCCCAAGCTGCCCCTTCTCCAGCTCTTCCCATTGGAGGTCCCTGCAATGCCCCCCTCCACTCTGGGCCCTCTACCTGCAGGGAGGGAGGAGACCAGGGTCATTCCAGGCTGGGCCAGGCCCAGGAAAGGAGCCCGGGGATGACGAGGGGCTGGGCCCATAGCGTTTAGGAGCTGGGTCTCCTTCCTCGGGCTGGGTCTCCCCCACAAGCAGGGTCTCCCTCCTTGGCTGAGGGTGGTGGCTTGGGGAGCAGAATCTGGGAGGGCAGGAAGGATGGTGGCAGCTTGGTAAGGGGTGTTGTGGAAGGTGGGCCCTAAACCCTGAAGCACACAAATCTGCGAATCAGGCTGGTGGGGAGGAAACACCTGCTTTCAGCCCCAGGGCTTGGCGGAGGGGTAAAGGCTAGAGCTGAGAAACTAGGGGAGAAGGAAGCAAGCGACTTGTCGGAGAGCTCATCTGGGGCTGGGGAAGCAACAGGAACCGATTTTCATTTCGAGGTGTTGATTGATCTGACTGCACCCCCAGGCTGTAGGCTAGACAGCTCTTCCCCACCTGCACTCTGGTCGAGAAGGGCCTGAGGCCTTCCCCAGTGGGCAGGGACCCCAGACCGAACGCCTGTGTTCTGGAGGGAGGGGATCCATTTCTTTGCGCCTCGGGAGTCCCATCCTCCCTGCCACCATCTTGCTGAGGTACAACCCCAAAAATCACGCCGCTTCCGCAGCGGCCTCCCATCGTGGGGGCCCACAGTGCCACTATTCCTGCAGCCGGCCTTCCTATTTTCAGGAATCTGATAAGGGGTCGATGCTGAAGGGCTCGGGGACGGCTTCTCCGGGAGGTCGTTATTTAGCGCGCACCGGGGCGCCTGCTCCCGCGACTTTGAGGCCGGGGTGGCGCCCAAAGGGGGAATCGGCTCCCGCGGCCGCAGCCCTTCCCCCGGGGCCCAGGGCAGGATCGAGTGCGCGCCCCCGGGGCCCCTCCGCTCTCGGCGGCCTCTGCGACCCCGCCCCGCCGGCCTCTCCGCCGCTGGGCTCCTCCCTCCCGGGCTCTGCCGTAGTCTGGGAACTCCGCGGAGAATGCGCTCAGAGCTGCGAACCGAGGCTTCCTGCCTCCCAGGTCGTGTCGAGCCCCAGTCCCTTCTCCCTTCCATTTACCACCACGTCTCGGGATTCAAGGTCAAGTGGGAGGCGCGCAGCCCGTCTCACCCCCGGGAGCCCCAGCGCCCAGCGCCGAGCCTGGGACGTTAGAGCTCTGGGTCAGTGCGCGCTGAGAGAATACGGCCAGTTTGGGGGGCCTTGGAATCAGCCTGATGCCAGCGGGTTCCTAACCCGCCGTCTGGCCTCCAGGCTCCCCGCTGCACGATGGAAAGCCTGCCCTCCACGGGAGAGGTGACAGGGCGTGGCTAGGCAGATTATCACGTTGCTGTGGTCTTTGTCGGTAGAAAACCAAAATAGGAGGGCCCAGTTAGGGGCGGAAGGAAAGCAGTTAGAATTTGCTGGGCGTGGGTGCTGGAAGACGTAAGGCGGGTGGAGGGGCTGGACGTCCTCGGCCAGGATATCGGGAGGCTTTACTGTTCCCCACTCCCACTGACTGGGGGGTCCCCAGAGGAACAGGGGCTGGGCTGCCCCCTGCCGCCTGTCAGCAGGTCACGCCTTCCACCGGAAGCCGCCTCCTATTCAAGGATTTAGTTTCCCTCCAAAACTCCAGAACCCAGATGGGCCCTTTTCTCTCTTTTTTTTTTCAATGTTTCTGGCACCCAAAGACATGGATCAGCCCTCCCCACTAGGAAAGAATATTGCAGACCCACTAAGCATTGGACAGAGGAAAGGATCTTGTTCATTCTTGGTCCCCAGAATGACCAAACAAACCCAGTTAGCCAAACCCCTAAAAATCTGTTTGGCCAAGGTTAGATGAGCCCCAAGTGTTTGACCTTGAAGGGGAACACCCCACTCAGAGTCTTAACTGCCCTTTCCTAGAAGGATTCTTCAGGCCATCTGAATTCTTCCCTCCAAGGATGCCCGGCAGGCAAGGCTCCCCACCCAGCCCAGTCCCCTGCTTCTTAGACCAGCATTGGTTCCTGTCTTCCCCCAGTCGGTATTTGGTGGGTAGGGGTGAGAAGGAAACAGGGAGGAGAAAAGCAAGGCCCCTGACTTGTCAGACTGGGATGACAAGCTTTCTCCGGTCATTTTCCCTTTTCTGCAGGTCGTAGGATTAGAGCAGGCCCTGGGGCTGGAGTCCAAAATGCTTGCGTGGAATGTTTTGCCCTTGGCTTCCTCTGCCAGTATCTATCTTTGTGTCCTCTTTCCTCTTTCCCTTGTGTGAGCCATTCTTGTTCCACTGACTTATTTCCTCTGCACATGTTAAAACAGAAATGACAGGGACTTTCTATTTCCGTCTCTACCTTAAGCCAGTCCTCTGTTCAGCCTACATGAACTTGGGTTGAGGAGGGAAGCCAGGCAGGCTCTAGTGAGAACCAGAGCCAAGGGCTCCGGGTCAGGGAAGAGGCTGTTGAGAGGCAGTCTATGTGTGAAGGGATAGTGGAGAGGCCAAAGGAAAGAAAAGGGGTGAGAACATAGGTGTCTGGGAGCAGAGCCCCCATTTCTACCTCCCCTTACCCCAGTTCCTATCTGCCTGAGATCCTCAGCCTCGTCACTCACCTCTGCTCTAGTTTCCCGACTTTCATGCACAAATCCCTGGGACAACTCTGGGAAGATGAACTGGGATGGGATTAATAAGACCCTCTTCCTCTTGCAAAGCTTCTTGCTACTTCACTGGGTGTGTGAAAAAGGGAGTTGAGAGTTCATTGGTAGGGAGGTCAGAGACGCTCAGCTAGGTTCAAGGAATCTCTCAGCTTAGAACACCTCATAGCAAGGTCTCCTGAGGTTGCAGAATCAACGCCAGGAGTACAAACCAGTAGTACACCCTCAATGAAGCTAGCAATATCCAGCAAAACTGCATACGCATTTACCCAGCAATCCTGCTTCTAGAAATTCATCCAGAAGATGCTCATTCACAAATATGGAAAGATATATACAAGGTGAATTTTTTTTTTGAGACGGAGCCTCGCTCCATCACCCAGGCAGGAGTACAATGGTGTGATCTCGGCTCACTGCAACTTCTGCCTCCTGGCGTCAAGCAATTCTCCTGTGTCAGCCTCCTGAGTAGCTGGGATTACAGGCACACGCCACAACGCCTGGCTAATTTTTTGTATTTTAGTAGAGGCGGGGTTTCACCGTGTTGCCCACTCTGGTCTTGAACTCCTGAGCTTGCCAGCTGCCTCGACCTCCCAAAGTGCTGGGATTACAGGCATAACACACTGTGCCCAGCCACCATTTTAATTTTTGAACTAGAAAAAGTATAACCATTCCCATTCCTGTCTATGTAAACTATTTACATCTTTCAAAAATTAAAATACATCCTCAAGAAAGGAAAAGCAACCATAAAGCTAACCACAACAGAAGCAGTAACTCTAACCAAATATCAATTTGATTACAAAAGAAAGAATTAATTCAAGTACTTTTTAAGCTGAATACTCTGATTCTATATTCTTTGTGGAATTTATATTTTAAGTAAAAAAAAAAAAAACTACAAAGAAATCTTCGCCTTGGTAGATA